TGCTAAGTGTTATACAGAAAACTGTCAACTTGGATTTAAAATTGGTAATGAATCCGAAATCGAAATTAAGCGAGCTTCCACTTAAAAGGTAAGAAATTTCGTCGCTAATGAAAACTTTTTTTCTGAGATGTGTTCAGTTCTTCACTTTCAGGCTCTCTGATTTTTGATTTTTTGGTCTTTGATTTTCCCAATTTTTCAAAGCTTTTACCTTAATTTCAATCTTTATTTCTTTAACTTCAGTATTTCAGTCTTTCAAGGTTCAAATCATTTCTTCCGGATGTGCAATCTTCTTTTTTTTTTGAATTTCAGGTTTTATCGCCTTGTCCTACAACCTTCGGTGATGTTCGATGATTCGGGTCGTATCAGTGATTCTGCGTACGAAGCGCATTTCACAGCACTTCCGAGCAAGCAGTTACTGACGTTGACGGTTGTTCCACCGGATGCATGGATGGTTCAGTCGGTTTATGCGGTCTATGATCTTGATAATATCAAACTGGAAAACGTGAGTGTTGCTTTTTTGCATATGGCGCAATTGCTGTTTCTGCATGGAAAAATGAAGAAAAAATTCAGTGGAGGAAATGCCAGCGACATCACCAGATGTTTTAGTACTAGTCAAAACAACCGTGGATGACTGAAATTTGTGCTGCAGTTCCGAAGTGTGTTTGAGTGAAACAAAAATTGAACAAAGATTTCAAGGAAAGATGTTGTGTTTGCATAATCGGTGGAAACGGCCTGAGCAAAAAGCAAAATTGAGCAGCAATCGTGAGCGGAAACCCATTTCGAAAATTCTTGTGGACCGGTTGGGAATCGAACCATTCGTCTTCATTTTTGAGAACAACGTGCTACCCAGTCGGCCATTGGGTGCGGTATATTCGGCCTGACAGTCCATCTCTTGTGTGTGTTTTTTTCAAGGCAGAATACACTTTTTTTTTCTTGCTTGCCTCTCATAGGTATTATGCAGTTCTTTGTGGCGGTTTCTTTGCCGGCTTTTCGCAGTTTTTCCGCAGCGGTAGCTGGGAACGAGATAGATTAACGTACTGGGGTTGACGAGTACAACATTCTAGTAAGTAGCACCACTTTAAAGAGATTAACCTTTCAAACTCGCCAATGAAATAGAGAACCTTTTCGCAAATTTCGTTCATTTGTTTTGATGGTAAATCAGTATTAGGAGGTTGAAGTGAATTTCATATTTCTCTGACCTTATTTATCATAGTAACTTGTTCGAATGACCCCGGTAGGGGCTAGCGTATTCTGGACTTTGGCATCGTAATCGATGTTTGGAAGCCCAAGTTTGGCGGGCCAGTGCAGTGGTGTTTGATATCATAGTTCTGTACTTCATTGAATAATTGAATATTTGAGCAGCTGTATGTCATCGACATTCGTTGTCACTCCATCTTTCCGCTAACACAGCTGAGATAGAGCGGTGCCGGGAATACAGACTTCCACTATGCTTGCTTTTCGTTGATTTCAGAAAAGTCTTTGACTCAGTTGACTACAGCGCTGTTGCTCAATGCTCTCATGAGCCAAGAAGTCGATCCAGCATACCTTACTATTATCAAAGACTCCACGACAGGGGCGTATACGGAAATCATCCTCTTTGATGATCCTATATTAAGCAGTGTCACATATCATTCCTGTTTTATTGAACATTATAAAAAAGTGTATGATTTCAGGTGGCCGGGAATGTAATTGCCAGATATGAGCTTGAACATATCCTGCTGGAAGGACATTGCTTCGATGACATGACTGGTTCACCGCCACGTGGCCTTCAGTTCACGCTCGGCACTCAAACGAATCCAACTCGTTACGATACGATTGTTATGGCCAATCTGGTAAGCACCAGTGCTGAATTTTATGTTTTTTGCTTTTTATATCAATTTTTCTTGATTATTTGGAATTGAAATCGTTTTAATGAA